CCCCATGGGAAAAGCCCCCGGCACCGGCCGCCCCGTCAGCTCCCGGGCAGCAGCGGGTGTGTGGGGAGTCGGCAAGGAGCCAGCTCCAAAACTCGCTGTTCCCAAGCGCAGTTTCAGTGCCCTCGAGTCCGCAGTCCCTGACTGAGGGGTGCACCGATGCGACGCTGATGTTAAACTGACACCGTCAAGTGATTCAGGTCCTGCATTTATTGCAGCCCGGTTTAGGAAAGGGAAAAGGGATTATTATTTTTTTTTTCTGAGCATGCCTGGAATTTTCATTCCCCCTCATTTATTTATTCCGTTCTGTCATTCTGTGGCAATGGTTATGAGCATTTTTTCTTTTAGTGGAGACGTTTTGCAGCGTTTGCAGATCAGGAGCACTTCAGTGCGTGCCAAGCGGGAGGTGAAGCCGATGGCAAACACGGAGCTCAGGCCTCGCTCCCCACCGAAAGAAATGCAAAAGGAGCACATGGACGGGCCAGGGAAGGGGGTTGTGCAAAATCTCCACAACCAGCAGGTGTTTTCCTTACAGAAAAGCCCAGATTTTGCTCCAATGGGAGCCATTTCGATAATGGAAATAACCGTACTGCGTGGCATCCTTGCTGCAGGTAGGGCGATGCCTAGGGGACGCCGGGATGAGCCGGGGCGATGCCAGGGTGAATCCGCTGGGATTCGGCTGCTTCTCAGTTCTGCTCCCAGCAGGAAACCTCCCTTCACCCGCGGTCCTGACCCAGCACAGAGAAGCCCAGGCTGTAAAACGCACGTTGGGATTTGGTGAGGTTTTCAGCGACGCACCAGAGTTACAGGGGTAACCAAGCTGGGGGGATGGACAGACAGACAAAGGGGGGAAGGATGGATGGGCAGTGCTAGAAACTGATGCCTCGCAGCTCTCACATGGACAGGACAGCTGGATTTTCTCTCTGGTTTATTGACTTCATTCTGGGCACCGTCCTGACCTGCTCCTCTCTTCCCACCCATAAGCATTTTCTTAAAAGAATTCCTCCAGTAAAAAAAATACAGAAAACAAAAAACCCCACCCAGCTCATTCTAAAAAGGACAATATTAAATATTAAATCCTAATTTTCTGGCTAATCAGGTCCCTGGCTGGCTGGAGCAAAGAACCAGCCCATGGCACAAGACAAGGAAAAGCAGCACTTTAATAACCGAGGGGCGAGCTGCTGCCATTCTCCCACGCCACCATCCATCAGAGAGCGTTGGGTGGAAAAGAAAGGAAGGAACCAGAGTAAGACGTTGTCGATGGAGCGATAGCCCTGGAAATAAATGTTGGAGCCTTGCCTGGGGATTTGTGGAGGCTGTTGGCCGTGACGTGGTCCAAGTCCACCGGGGCAGGCAGCGACGCATCCTGGGACCGGTGCATGGCAAATCTTACGCCTCGGTTCTTATTTCGGCTCTGTGAGATTTTGTGCCCATCAGCCAGGTGTGATCAGCCCTCCTTAGGGCAGAATTAATATCCCCTGCACAGGGCACGGCTCAAATGGGGTCAGGCTCCACTTTGCAAGGCCGTGGAGCTGCTCAGCCCCATGAGCTGCAGCACGGTGACCCCGGTGCGAGGCCAGGGCAGCCCTGCAGCTGCAGCCCACACTGGGCATCTCCACGGGCACTGGGAGCTCCCGGCGTCGGGAAGAACCTGGGATGGCTGCAAACACCACCAAGCTGTCCTGGGAGCTTTTGGGGGGGGGTGCTGGTGAAGAATTTGCATCCTATCTCATGTGTTTTAACTCTGCCTGTTTACTTTGACACTGATCAGAAAAGAAATGAAATTGTCATGCTAATATATGTTAATTAGTCCATTAGCATTGCTAAATAAAATAAATTTTGCAGGCAGCCGCGCTCGCTGAAGCATGAACTTTCATTTCTCATTCCTGGTTGGGGCTGCACAAAATTATTTCTTCTGCCTTCCGAGGAAATTTTAAGCTGCTTCTCATCACTCAACCCTGGCTCCTTCTGCAGACCCGGCTCCCTCGGCCGCGGGGGTCCCGGGAGGCCGCGTGTGGGCTGGGGGTGCGGCACGGAGCAGGGGCGAAGGTTTGGGAGGAGGCTCTGGGGGGACCGGGTTAGGGAAG